GAAAATGAATCCAAAATGGGTTAAAAGGGCAAGTGCTGAGGTACAATTAGAAGTGTGGCATAGCAATGCTGGGTGAAGACAGCCTGGAAGGATCTATAGCAGAAGGAATGAAGACAGAAAGGCAACATTGAGACAAAAGAAGATAAAAATTTGAAAGCATAGATGAGTTGATTTAGGTAAACTACAAAGAAAAGAAGAAGCAATTCAGCATTTTAGAAATCAATTTTAGTATATCATATAGGTGTAGTCTTTAATAATATAAGATTTCTCCAACATCACCTCCAACAAAACAGAGCTAAGGGTTCCCAACATACTGCATGATTACTTCTATTTAGCATGTTGAGGGAAAATCTGTTGTCTTTCCCATCCAGCTAGCCTGGAGCTACATGAAGGCAAGGACCATGGTAAGTTCATCTTTACTACCTCAGTGCCTAGTATAGTCAAGGCATATAGTAGGCAAAAAAAATAAAAATAAAAAATGTTCTGGAACTGAACTGATGGCAATTTACTATAAGTAAAAGGAAGGACTAAATTTGCACATGAAATCCAAACAGTACATAGAGGTGGGAGCTAATATACATAGGTGTGTGAGTAAAAAACATCTTCCAGAAGGGAGTAGTAATTCTTCTATTACAGTATGTTTGCAGCTACAGAATAACCTCTGTAAGGGCAAAGTTTGAAATTATTCTGAATGTTCCACAACACCTAGCACAGCAATGAAAATGCAGTGGATGCTCATTTAGAATTATTTTTAATTTTTTTAAAGAAATAACAATAATAGATTAGTTTCTTTGACCACTCTTATTTAATCACAAAATATTTAAGCATTAAGATAAAGCCTGAGGTTCACAAAATAATTTGATATTTTTCCCTGTTCACGAATATTCTTTCTATAGAGAGGAAAGTACATTAAGATTTTGTGCTATTGGGCAGCCCGGGTGGCTTTGCGGTTTAGCCCTGCCTACAGCCCAGAGCGTGATCCTGAAGACCTGGGATCGAGTCCCGTCCGGCTTCTTGCATGGAGCCTGCTTCTCCCTCTGCCTGTGTCTCTGCCTCTCTCTCTCTCTCTCTGTGTGTCTCTCATGAATAAATAAATAAAAATTAGGGATCCCTGGGTGGCGCAGCGGTTTGGCGCCTGCCTTTGGCCCAGGGCGCAATCCTGGAAACCCAGGATCGAATCCCACGTCGGGCTCCCGGTGCATGGAGCCTGCTTCTCCATCTGCCTGTGTCTCTGCCTCTCTCTCTCTCTCTCTGTGACTATCATAAAAAAAATTAAAAAAAAAAAGATTTTGTGCTATCAAATTCTTATTTTAGAATTGACTAGAGAAAAATAAAATTACGGTTTTCCTTAATCTGGTTTAAAAGGAAAGCAGAAGAGTTGGACCATAGATTATTCTAGTCAATTAAACAGTCTTTCTGAAAATATAAAACTAAAAATATATTTTGATTATAAAGTTGTATCTTTTCCTCAGTGGTTAATTGCTTTAATTTAAGTGGTTACTTTAAGTCATCATGATTTCTGTTCATACACTTTCAATCAATTTTGTGGATTCTCCTAAGGTCAACTAATTTCCTAATGAATCATATTTTGTATTATGAATTATAATCTATTCACCTAGTGCAGAGGTCAGCAAACTTCTATAAAGAGCCAGGTAAGTAGTTATGTTAGGCTTTGCAGGCCACTTTGTCATAACTATTCAGCTCAGTTGTTGTAGAGGAAAAGTAGCCATAGATAATACACATGCAAACAGGCACGGTTATTTTTCAATAAAATAATGAAAAGGCAGTGGGCCAAAGTTGGCTCATGGCTATAATTTGCCGACTCCTACTTTAGACCTTTATTTTAAATTTTATTATGAAAATTCTCAAAAATGCAGAAAAGATAAAGATTATCCAGAAATGGATAAAGAAGATGTGGTCTATGTATACAATAGAATATTACTCAGCCATTAGAAATGACGAATACCCACTATTTGCTTCGATGTGGATGGAACTGGAGGGTACTATGCTGAGTGAAGTAAGTCAGTCAGAGAAGGACAATCATTATATGGTTTCATTCATACAGAGAATATAAAAAATAGTGAAAGGGATTATAGGGGAAAGGAGGGAAAAATGGGAAAAATCAGAGAGGGTGACAAAACATGAGAGACTCCTAACTGGGAAATGAACAAGAGGCAGTGGAACAAGGGGGAGGTGGGCAGAGGGATGGGGTGACTGGGTGACGAGCACTGAGGGGAGAGCACTTGACGGGATGAGCACTGGGTGTTATACTGTGTGTTGTTGGCAAATCAAACTTCAATAAAAATATATATATATATATTTAAAAAAGAAAAGCAAAGAGAAAACCATATACTATCATTTAGATTTGGCAATTAACATTTTGACATGTTTACTTTATGTTATTGCTAAATTACCATAAAGAAAATTTGTTACCAGTTTTGCTCTGCATAATTTAGTACGCATCTTTAAAGACACAATGCTACATAACCTAATAAAATTTCAAATAATTCCCTAATAGTCCATATTTAAATTTCACCAAATATCTACAAAATAATTTCTATAGTTGCTTAGTTCAAATCAAGAATCCAATTTAGGATCAGACATTGTATTTGGTTACTACATATTAAAAGAAAAGTATCCTTTAATCTAAAACAGCAGCCTCCATCTCCCAGACTTTGTTGTGACTCACTGAAAAACAGCCTGATTTTAAACAATGTGAACAAGATCTGGAATCAATACATATCATAGGAACATTAATATAGAGACAAGCACAAACATTTTTCCTTATATTATCCTCAACATACTTTCCTTAATTTTTCTATTTTTATGATTTCTTTTCATCTCTCACCTATATTTTAAACAATTTATAGAGCTGATTGGGTAATTTGATACATACCTGAAAGTAGAACTTCACATATGACATAAAAGCTTATTTTACCGGGTTTGACTAAAATATATGAATCCATGCTCTGTATATGAAGAGAGTAGAATTATCAGGAATTTTAACCAGGCTTAAGAAATTCTAATTGGTAGAATACATCACCTTTAGTGAAAGATGCCAATTATTTTCTGTTGTAAGAAAGTATTACACTATCCCACACTGTGAGCAAATATAGAAGTTTAGGCACTTGAGATGACCTTCTAGAGTTTGCAAGTAAGTGCCTTATAAGAGAGAGGAAAATTCCTTCCCAGGAGAGTTTTGATTCCTGTGAGAAAATGTTAGCTTATCAAGGGAATTCCAAAAAGAAAAAAATCAACCCAAATTCCATAAAATCTCTATGAAATGAGAACTGTTGGTATGTAGGTGGAGATATGCACGCCAACCGATGTTCAGATAGAAATGGGGTCCAGGGAGACCAGAAGCCAACTTGTGTAGCACAATTCTGTGACAGTGTGATATGAAATTACAAGTAAGATGGCTGGAGGAAATAATTGAGAAAATGTGAATACGCAAATGAGAGGGGTTTGTGTTGCCTGTGTTTTAAAGTATCTTAACTCGTTGGCATTGGGAAATAGGATCAGTAAGGAGTCAGGAAAAAGGAGCAGGCCAACTCACATAACAAGAGTACACAAAGAAAAGGGAATCAAAAGGCATTGACTGGAAACTCTGAAAGATAGAGTTCCCTCATTTGAGAAAAGGAATAGAGCAGATTTAACTAAAGGGAGTTGAATTTACAAGGAACAAAAGGAGTTACAGCTTAGAACAAGATAGAAGATAATAAAAATAATGATGCTCTCACCTCTCTGTACTATGCGATACGTTAACCACTGGCCACATGTGGTTGTTTAAATTTAAATGAACTAAAATTAAATGAAGCTAAAAATTCAGTTCCTTGGTCATATAAAGCCACAGTTCATTTGCTCAGTAGCCATAGATGGTTAGTGGCTACTGGATAACACAGATAGAGAACATTTCCATGTCTCAGGAAGTTCTCTTGGACAATGCTACTCTGAAGAGATTAAAATAGTAGGAAAGAGGAAAAGGCAGGGAAAGAAGTGAAAGAAAAGGAATGATGATCCGTAAACTCCCTTTCCCACTTGTGCTCCATGTCACTAGTCCTCATGTGACAATTAAGATAGTCGCCGCTCTACTACAGCAAGGTTCTGACATGCCTCCTCTCCAGAGAGCTGCCTGACAAATGCAAGAGTCTAGGTGTTGGGACTCTTGGAGCAGGGCATTGAGTTACGGGTGGAGCCAGGGTCGGGCTTGGGAAAGGACTATCCAATGCATGAAGAGGGCCTGTGCACAACCTAGTACCATGCCCAGAATTCCAGGTGGATAGAACATTCATGCCATGCAAAGCTGCAAGAGTAGATTCTTTCATCTCTGGTGCTCAGTGAGTCTTCAGCCATTCACGGTCATATAATCCTACTACTAATATATTGCTCAGACTAAGTCATAGGTCGATACTCACATTCTATCTTACTCTACTAAGAGAATTTTAGCCTGACCCTCTCCTTTCATTTCATTTCATATCAACCAATTCTTATAAGCATTCTTATTCACCAATACTACAAATGAACATCATAGCACCTTCTCTCTAAGCCCCATGAGGAAGAGCATAATATTTCAAATCACTGTTGAGTAACCTTCTTTGCCACACATCTGTTGTGAAATGACAGCAGTTTGTAGAGGTTCTGACCCTCAGAGACACCCTCCCTTTCTGGGACATGGTTAGCATCTTTTTGACCATAATCTACATCTTATCAGATGGGTCTCTTGTTCCACACTGCCATCTCAAGACTTCCTGCCCCTCACAATATTTATACTCGACATAGCTGGGTAAAGAGAGGATAACCCAAGAACATTTGCAAATGCTGCCTTGTGAGAGTCACTCTTCGGAAAGCTCAGGGCTGCGTTCAATCTCCCATTTGTGTGTGTGGGCAGCCATTTCTTCAGTGCATTACCCATGTTCTAATTGGCTCACTATCCAGATTCTTGGCTCTGTGCTTGGGACTCGTCACTGCCTTTTCACCCACCTCACCTGCACAGCAGCTTTCCATGCTTCCATTAGCATTTCAGGCACTGATCTTCATTCGTAAAATGGCCAACAAGATTTTAATTGGTGGCTCTGACTTTTACTATTAATCTGGCTTAGATACTTTAAATTTTGTTTTACTACATTTGAAAAGGGTGAAGCCTTAAAGAGAGAAAAATAATAATTGAGGAGAGAAGATACTCAGAGAAAAAACAGAGGCTTCTCTGGATTCAGGCTGTCCACTTAAAGAGAACTGTGACTTATGCAGGGGACCTTATCATTGTAAGTAGCATAGTTTTGCTTGTTTGGATTAATTCTTTTTTTAAAAAAAGAACCCTCACTCCTAACATCGGAAAATTTTCTGGTTCTTTGATATCTTTAAAAAGTGACTGAATATTTTCTAACATCCACTGAAATGGAAAGCTTTTGATTTTTGATTAAGACCTGAGCGTCTGGTTATGAGTATGAACCAGATAATCCGTTTTGAATATCAGCCTCCAGACTATACGTGGCTTTTTAAAAATGAAGAAGCTTAAACTACCTGTAAATAGAGCATAGGGGGCAAAGTCCCTATCAACTGTATCACTCTCCATCCCTCTGATCATTTTAAATGCCTGACACTGAAAACCTTCATTAAAGGAGTGAATCTTCCAACCCCACAGAGAGCTGCCTTTCAGCTGGAAGAAGGGTGTGTCCTGAGCTTTTACCGGGAGCAATGATGATCTTGTCAAGCATTTCACGGAGACCAGCCCAAGTTTTTAGGGTGGGGATCTAGACTGGTTATACGTACCTTGTGCTCTTCTCCCAGAGAAGGCAGAAACACCTCAAAGCCTGCATGTAAGAACATCTACTGAGAAATTATTTTAATCAGACACCAGTTGATTGGGGGAAAGAAAAAAGAACAGAGAACAAACAAAACTCTCTTGGTCTTGGATGTAAGAGAACCCAGCTGCAATGGACTGGCACTTTTTAAGAACAGCCACAGTGCTGCTCATTTTTCTGGTAAGTGGATTCTGTTAAAAACCCTCATAATCATGCTCATTGTAAACAAGGGAGAACTTTTTAAAAAGTGTTATTTGGTATTATTTCTAACCTAAACCCATTAAAAGTTTATGTTAATGACATGGTGATTTTACGAACTAGATTTTTAAGTAGTGTTTCTCTCTTTAATTGAAGACTCGAGCATATTAACGCATCAGTGTTAACTCATCATATCACATCTCTGACACTGAAGTCAGTGCTAAGTCATGCTGGGAAAATACTAAATTTGGAAAAGTCTTATCACCACTTGATAGCATTTTGTTGTTCAAATTATTTTTTGCAGGTGGGCTCGTAAACTAACATCGCGGCTGTGTCCTGATCTTTACCCTAAACATTTTCTCATTCTCTGGGTATCTTTACTGGCAGATTCACTATAATTTTAAAGCATAAATATAGGATACATATAAATTTAAATCATAGCAGTTTGTGACTGGCCTCACAATCCAAATAATCTCATCAGTTCTATATGTGGTTGGTATCCATATCACTGATAGCAAAAGCCCCACACTGCTAAACTGTGATTTTATTTAAAACAACATTTTTTGATCTCAAAAAGCATGGCAGTATGGGAGATTTATAAATGATATAATGATATAATAAGTGAAGGAATAGCTGTAATTAAGGAGTAAGTATAATTATTATGATACTGGTTCTTACCACTGGAAAGTAATGATCGTGATATAAAAGTTGTATATTTGATGTTTAGGCAAATGTAATGTGATGCTTTATCACTGTCTCCCTTATACGTTATTAATTTTCTCTTTTTAGAGATAACTAAGATAACAGTAGGTGTCATATCAAATTTCATACAGGCTGGAGAATTTTAAATCATAGTCTTTCTCACAGGAAAGTTAATGTAATCCAAAGAGGCAAGTGCCAGATAAATCACCCTCCAATTTGGCAGGATGTAGTGCTGTGGTTCATATTTGTTTCTACTTGCTTAATTTTTGAACTGGATTGTTGGGTTTCTATAATAACAAGTTAGACCTTTGAATCAAAGTATGCTGGTTAGTTTGAATTCAGTTTATTAAGTAAGAGAGGTCATACCAGTGGATTTGTTACAGATAAGCATCAATAAGCTGGTAGTTTTTCTTCCAAACTGCCTTCAAAGACCAGCCCTGTATCATGAACTTTTTAAATGGATCTTTAGGATCAGTTAATATCATAATTTGGGATGTGGTAGGGATTAACAAGCACTGTACCCTATGTTATTTGAGCATAGGGACAGCTATATATTGCAAGGTAATTAAATACTTTTATTTTTAATTTCATATAAAGCTGATCCACTAAGGCCTATTCTAGTTTCAGCTGATTAGAGTTTATTCATATGCTCCGTGCTTTCATTAAATGTATAAAATATCTCATTTCTTTATTTTTATGATTATTTCTAATTAATTACATCCTATGAAATTCCTTTAAACACTGTCAAATTAGTCATTCTTCATAAAATGTATCATTTTATCAAAATCATGTATTCTCATTGACCTTTCTTTGTAGAAAAGCTTTCTGGACATTTACACTTTATTTTCTAAGTTTGGATAGTTTTGGTTTTTTGGTTTGTGGATTGTTTGCTTATTGCCATATTTTACTTTGGAATCAATCATAAGTTTCTCCTCCATCTTATGAAAATTATCTCTCTCAAATAAATAAATAAAATCTTTTTAAAAATAAAATAAAATATTTTCCCCTGAAAATTAACTACCAGTATAGTGGTAAACTCTTCCACTTACCTTTCTGCTAGCCTCACCATGAAGATTTGCTTTTACCAAAAAAAAAAAAAAAAGTCTTTATTTTTCTCTGCTGAAAGTCTATAATAAGTGAAAATCTACATTAGGGAGCATACTTGGACATACTTGGACAATTTTTAAAACCTTTAAGACATTTAAACTGGTCATATCTTTAATGCAAATCCATTTGAGAGCTGAGCAGCCATCTATTTACATGTACGTCGTGTAATTGGTTTAATATACCTGAAAGTTTAGGCTTTGTTCAGATTAGTGAGTTAGATCAAGGAGAATAAAGCTGAAAGATCTGTTCTTAAAACAAGCAAGCTGGTCACAGGACTACTCCGTTATTTAGACAAGCCTCCTAGAAAGACAAGAGCTTACACCTGTTATAACACTGCAAGCCAAAGAAATGTTACTGGACCCTCATTTATTTTTCTTTCTTTTTCTGTAGCTGCTAAATTAGTGTATTGAAAAGGGAGGATGTGGAATGCATTCGAGACCGCAGAACAATGTCACCGAGGTAGCATACCCAAGAAATCTCTGTGAACGGTTCTAACAATGAGATAATGTATGGCAGGGCCCCACTGTAGGAAAGCAAAATAGATGCAGCATAATTTTTTTTTATGCAGTAGAATTTCTATAGTTCTAATGATTTCTGAAAATTTTTCACAACTTTGCCAGATTCAATTAGTCACCAACATCAGTACAAACTCAAGGTGTCTTTTTATAGAAAGGCAAACTTCTGCAGCTTATACCCAAAGAACAAGCAAATCTATCTTTACTGATTTCCAAGAATATCATGCTCTTGCATGGTTAAAACTTGCCTTCAAAAGAAAAACTCTAAACAAAAAGAAAGAAAGAACACCTCTGGCCAGCTGATAAACCATCTCCACAATTTGACTTAACTGAAATAAATTAGGATAGAAGCAGGAGTTTCCAAAGTATTTCTCAGTGTGCAGGTTAAAATACACAGAAAAAATACATACTTCATTACATAGTTCATCAACTTACTTGAACCAGACATTTTAAATTTCCATAATTGTGTTCATTGATGCTTAAAGCAAGAGAAGGGCTAACAAACTAGTACAGAGCAAACAGAAAAAGGGAGGATTCTTTATGTTTTCTTGTGCACATAGTATAGTGATGCTAATTATAGGTAACAGTATGTCAGTAAAATATTTTATAGAAAATGAAGATATTTTTGTTCACCTGTTTGATAAAATTTACAACTTATGTTTTTTTAGCTTTATTTATTTATTCATGAGAGACACACAGAGAGAGAGAGAGAGAGAGGCAGAGACATAGGCAGAGGGAGAAGCAGTCTCCTTGCAGGGAGCCTGAGGTGGGACGTGATCCCAGATCCCCGGATCACGACCTGAGTCTAAGGCAGGCACCCAACCACTGAGCCATCCAGGCGTCCCAAAATTTATAATTTGTATTCCAGGAAAACCATTTCCATTTCATAGTGTTCTTAAAAGCTTTATTATTTCACTGCAGATATAGGATCAGCATCTTGCACCTTTGTAAAAACAGGAACTACAAATTTCCCATCATTTAATTGGTTGCCACAGAGTAAAACATTTTGCCATGCTCAACTTAGGTAACAGAAAAACCAAAAGCACTGAGAGATGCTGTCTCAATAAATTTGAAGGCCTGGCCCTAAGGGACAAGGTTCACTTTTTTAACAGGGATGATGAATGTAGAAAAGAAAACACTCTTGTCTATACCCAGAGCACATAATTTCTGGTAACTCTTTCTCCACTATACATTCACCAAGGACATCGGTGCCGAGTATCCCATTTCCTAACAGGTATTGCCTAAGGAAAAGGCAGAAAGCATGCTCGGCATTGCAGTTACTTATTATGCTTCTGTCAATGAGGGAACGCCCTACAGAGTGCTGGGACATGCCACTCTTGGTGGTTTGCTTGCCCTGCGAATTCCTTTAAAGGACTTAGGCAGGTCGAAGTAGTTTAAATGCCATTGGCTACTGATCTATATTTTCAATTGGTCCATGAGAATAGGGTGCAGCCTTTTACACTTGGCTAATGAAAAACTGCATCTCTACAAATTAATGGCTGCCGGTGGCTCATAAAACTACTTGACTGTAAGTTATTTGAGGGCAGATTCTGTGTCTGATTCATTTTTGTATCCTTTGTAGTGCCTCGCACCAGGGCAAGACTGCTCACTAGATGTTTAATCACACAAAGTAGGGGCATCAGAAGGCAATTTGGGGATAGTTTATATTTCTCTCCCCCTACACATTCCAAAAAGTGATCAAGAAATTAAACATAGAAATAATAAGGTTGAATTTCCCTAACACTTATTTTTATGGTGTTTTATTACATTTACTTTACATTTCATCTAAGATTTGCCACAGTATTTTTTAGGGCTTAAGCCCTTTCATCCAGCCTTGAAGCCACTTAATATACATTCAATACATATTTTTGTCAAATAAATAAATAAACCAATAGCAAATAAGAAAACTCAACTTATCAAGGTATATCAACTCCAAACTGATAGTAATACAAAGACAAAACAGGAGTTTTTTAAAAAGAAGCAAATTATTATATTTTGGCTCTGTCCCAAGTTCATCCTTATGATGTAAAATACAGTTATCAAATATGTCAGCATTTGATGCTTAACAACTGGCAAGTGGCTATGGAAGACCATCTCCCAATTATTATATACAAGAGGTTTGCCTCATAGAAATTACTTATTACTTTCAAGACCATTTTATTGTTTGCAAAGAAATGTAAACCTCAGTATCAAAAGAGAAAAAATGACCTAAAAATGAGTATAATTAGAGAACCATTGAAATTATCATGCAATTTAGTGTCCTGTGGATTTTTTTTTTTAATATATGTGGATTGGCTCTTTAAATAGAAATGAAGGAAGGACTCATTGAGGATGCACTTCAAGTGAATTATATTCACTACTTTCTTAGAATGTTTGGATTAGAAAGGGCTTTAGTCTCATAAGTAGCCAATGAAACAGAGGCACAGAGGGACATACCCAGTAGACAAGAGAGATGAGATATACTCAGCTTAATAATGCCTGTATTCATTTTTAAGTGAATCTCCATCATAAGCCTCCATAGTACCCATTTCCAACTCATTTAGGAATCCAAACTGCTCCCCTGATTATACTTACTCTACAGATAAGGTCTAGATCAATCAGATGATGTCCTTCAACTACCTCTTACAGTCTACTGATTTTAACCTCCATCCTTCCTCTCTTCCTTACCCTCTCTGCTTTCTTTCTGCCAATTCTCTCCTGCTCTGTTACACTTCTACCAAGTACTTTCTTTCTGAACCTCTCTTTCAAATAAAAATCTCCTACTTTTTTCTTTCTTCACCTTCAAAAATCCACATCTCCCTGTCCCAGAGTATTTCCTTGGATGCCATATCTCATTTTACCATCCCGTCTTTGTTTCCTTTTGTAGTCCAATTTCCTGGAAAAGAAGCCATCTTTATGTTCCCTTCCCCTCCCATTTATTCCTCAATCCCTTTCAGTCAAGAAGGACCCATTCCATCAAACTGAAAGGATTCTTTTGAAGGTCACACAAAACCTCGGGATTCATTCCACTCCAGGATTTTAAGTCATCTGACACATGTTCACATCCCATATCTCTTTCAATTCGCCCTTCCTTTGACATCTGTGACATTGCATTATATTTTCTTCCCACTTTGGCCACTTCCTTTCTCTTTTTCTTTGTTGCTTGTTTCTGTTGCTGTTCCCTATTCTATAAATGTAGGAATTCCCCTTGTTTCATGCTCGGCCAGAGGCTGTTTCTTTGTTATATTCCCTACTTTAGGGTCTTCAAATTCTCCCATGATTTAAACTGTCCAACCTGAGCAGATCATATGAGATCTGAACATTGTTCATGGTGCTGATACATATTTCAAATTGCTAAGCACCTTCACCTGGCCATTTCTCTAGCATCTCAAAGTCCATGTGTTCTAATCTGCTACATTCTGCTACTGCCTTGCACCTCACCTCTTAGTTTGAAACTGCCATCACTTGAGATTCTTCTTTCTCCTGACTCCCATGTCCTATTTGTTCTCAAGTCCCATTCATTTCAATTGTGTGGAATTTCTGCCTTGATCTTCCCTGTCTGTTACCACTGTCACACTGTCACAGCTTCTGTTCCTCCCTGCCTCATCTCTGGTCTGTTTTGATGTGGAACACTCAACTACTTGTGGCCTATAATCCTGCCTCTTTCTACCACCTGTGGACAGAATAATCTTTTAAACCCACAAGTTTACCATTCCTTTTCCATGATCAAATAACTGATATTTTCCTACTGCACACAGGGATTAGGTGTTAGAATTGGAAAGTAACTTTATATAATTTATTCTCCCTCTCATTTTACAAATGAGAAAACTAAGGCTTAGAGAACTTAAGAAGTACATTGAAAGCTTTCTGACTCTACCAAGCACTCTTTTTATCTCATTATTTTGCCTTTGAAAGTCCAAGAGTGACTTTGTTTCATTGCTTATTCTAGACTCTGAGCAAAACAATAAGGCTATGTCAACACTACATATTTTTAAGCAGACTTGGCAGTTTTTTAATTACTAATTCAATTGGGAGCCTGACACTATGGTGAAACTTACTTGGTCTTCTGCCTAAATTGCCTCTCATGGGAAAAAGAATGACCCAGCTTCATAAAGTTGGAAGGTTTATTAGTCATCTGGCATAGTTCTCCAAAACAAACAGTAGGCTCTGACACTTCAGTGTGGAAGGGAAGTGCAAGACAGAGAACACATGCCTACATAACTCTGTAGCTATGAAGAAATGGCTTCCAGATAGACAAATAAGGTATCCCTACACCCCCGTTCCACATCCACAAATGGTAGAGAGAGTTCTCATGAGTCCACAGGTAGCATGAAGTAACATCATCTTAATTCTGTACCTGAGAGGGACTCAACAATAACATTTGAGTTACTTATCTAAACCATTTGAACCATCTACTTCTTTTCCCCCTGGAAATTATTGTTGTTGTTATATATGGACATTCCTGTTAGGCTAACATGAGATGAGATTAAAATCAGAATGTTTTGAATTCTCAAAGTTGTATTGTCAATTTTCCATAGTATAGCTTATTTAATAATTTAGTTGGAATAGGCTATCTTGCATTTTATTGTAAAACCAATATCACAAGCACAAATTTAGGCTGAATTGTATTGGATGATATTTAGCCATAAATTTGTATCCCAAACTCAATTTCCTCATCTGTAAAATGGAGATAATGACCACCTGTATTTGTGAAGATTGAAGGCACGGATTTCTCTAAACACATTATCTAGTAATTAGTCACTATTCAGTGAATTGTAACAGTGATAATAATAATCAACATTAAATATATACCATAAGAATATAATTCCTATAAAAAATCTCTTCACACTACTCTCATTAACCAAAAAATAGGTATTTTCCTGAATTATCAATTATAACAATTTTTGAAAAATATGCACTTGGAAACCAAAATTTTATTTTTATCTAATGGTGAGATTGAAATTATAAAAAGTAACTTACTCTATCTTGAAGTTTCTATTATTAGTATTTTTTAAATGCAAGCTTCAATTTCTTTTATCAGTGATGCAGATGAAGTCTAATTGTAATAATAAATTTCATACGTTGCAGTTCTGAAAAAATTCAACTAGAAGTTGAAAATTTCTTAATTAGAGAGAAATAAAAACCAAAGATTTACATTATCTTTAATGACTTGAAGTTAAAACTTAATAAATGCAAATTAACCTTCACATCTACGCCTAATTTTTAGATAGGTATTTTACTCTGTCTTAAGTATACTGACATTTTAAACTTAATATATAAAATCCATCTTTTTTAGAAATGCTTTTGGGTTTTAGAGAAAAGTAATTTAAATTATCCTGATCTTTCACTACAAATCATATGTAAAGATCAAGATCAAGCTGAAATAAGGCAGAGCTCTACTTGAGTAGTAGCTCATTTGTTGAACAGGGAAAGTGTTTAATGCTGGAGAAGAGATTGCTAGAAGTTGCTTACCCACTAATTTGTCCCTACATGCCTACAATTTCTTCTCCTTGCTATGGAAGGATGCATTTATATCTTTTTTTTTTAGGGCTAGCATAAAATATCAAACAGGAACTCATTTTTATAAAAGAAATTATTTGCGTGTTAGAACTTTTTATTCTCATATTTCAAAGCAAATCTATCATCTTAAGATTTTCAAAATACTAGAAAATCTCCCATTTAAAATTAGAATATGAAGGAGCAAATACTCTGAAACTTGTCAGATACTTTCAGTTCTATATGCTTTCTTTACTCCACTTTTTTTTTCTATTTCCATCTATAGCTAGTCAGATCCTGAAACTATAGTCAAAAGCTTAAGTATCTTAACTTACTGTTGAATATTACAGAATAGCATCAGAATAGGTCCTTAAGTGCAAGATTTATGAAGAAAGCCTAAATTTCCAACCCTCACTCCTCTTGCGTTCAATGTCTCAGGTCATATGATAATACATATCTGTGTAGGCGAAGAATGAAAGAGGTTAAAAAATAAAAGTCATTAAAAAGATGGGTATAACTGAAAAGTAAAGACAAAAAGAAAAGAAATCTATAACATCATCATTATACCTGGGAGATAAGCTAGATCCATCTCTATCTGGACTGATAAAATAACTCTGATGACTCACAAGATTTATTTGATTTTTAAATGATTGGATAACATGAATTGTAAAGCACTTAATGAAAATTAACTGTTGCGATTATTTTGTATTTTATAGGTGGTGGTGGAAATTAACAGTGAATTTCGAATCCAGGTAATACACAGCAAATCTATTTTTTTCCAAATTAGAAATAAGGAAAATAGTTTGGAAGTAACAACACATTTTCAAAGAAAATTCATCCTTATAAGTAAAAAATGAAGGTTATGCTAAAATTAATAGATTATCAAAATTACCAATTTTCCTAATTGAACATCCTCTCTTTCTAATATTACAATTACCCTCTCCTCCAAAAACTTCAGTGGCATGTGAATTATGAATAAAAGTTAATAGATACTACTACTTTATCATGCTTATTCAAGGTAAGAGATTACAACACTAAAAATGGCACCATCAAGTGGCATTCAATCAGGAGGCAAAAACGTGAATGGATCAAGTTCGCTGCAGCCTGTCGTGAAGGTGAAGACAATTCAAAGAGGAACCCAATCGCCAAAGTAAGTATCAACACCAAAGCATAAAATCAAAAATCAGAATGGATGGGGTTAAATTTCAAAAGAGCCTATCTTTTAAATATTTTATAAATATAAACTCACTTAGAATTTATCATACAAAACAGAAGTATAGTCACTCATATTATGAAAACTGAAGCCATTAAAAAGATAACTTAAGAAATTTAGGCACTGAGTTAAACAGTTAAACATTGACGTGCCTCATTGGTAAAATAGGTATATGTGATCATAATTTATCCCCAATTCTAGGTTGAAAAATACAGTGATTTAAATAATGAATTTAACACTTAGCACACTCAGAGGGATTATTTTAATGTGTATTCTTTCTGCCTTGATCTATTAGAATTGAATTTCTACTTTTGGCTTTTTTTAAGTAAGAATTCACAATGTACCCTATTTCATACTCTTCCTTTCATTTCCCTTTGTTTTCCTTTGTATAAATACACACACACACACTCACAAATATATCCCCACACACAGATTCACACACAGATACATATACATAGACACATATACAATATACGCACACATTCAGACAGATATACATTCTCCAGTTAGATCTGCTTAGAGTCATACAGCATTGCATTTCAAAGAATGCAATGAATCCAGCTTCAATAAGCCATTTATTTGGGGGAAATTTCCTTATTTTCTGATAATACATCTTCCCCATTTTCAGAATTAAGGGCTTCTACACAGAGTCAGATAAGTCTTGTCACCTACATAAAACTACTTAAAATTTTCTTCTAAAACTACATTTTTAAATTTTTTTGGATCAAGAGATCAAAGTTATATAAAGACAACACTGGTAAACTGGAATTACCTACTCTAGTGCCAGTGCTAGCACAGAGCCTGAAAATAATATGATCAATTATAAATGTGGAAAGAAAGAATGAATAAATGAATGAATGGATGGATGATGACTACCTTGTCCTGGGTTTATTAAAGTGGTATGTTATTTTTTTCTTATTTGGTATAAATAGAAATTGAGTTTCTTTTATTAGATTGCTTGCTATTATGGAAAATACTAGAGTTCAAACGAGAAAAATAACTATTTCCAGCATTTCCCAAAACATAACAGGTACTGACATTCTACAGTTCTCGAGAAAGATAGCTGTTTATCAAACCTAGCACTTTTTATTTGTTCTCTGTAATATTTTCACCTGTGCTTTCTCTGCAGATTCATTCAGATTGTGCTGCAAACCAGCAAGTTACATACCGCATCTCTGGAGTAGGAATTGATCAGCCACCTTATGGAATCTTCATCATCAATCAAAAAACTGGTGAAATTAATATTACATCCATAGTTGATCGAGAGGTCACCCCTTTTTTCATTGTAAGTTGGCTCCACACCAATATATGTGTTAAGCCTTAAATTATTTTTAGAATATCTTAAGCTCAGATCATATTTGATTTGATTTCAGGAATCCCAATATAATTTTTGGTTGTCTCAATTGATGAGCATCTTATGACCCAACAGAAACAAATAGATTAAGAGAAATGTCTTGCTGAAATGCCTTAGCAAAAAATGTTAGCTTCTGGTCTGTCCCCAGTGGCAAACTAGAATATTTTTTTTTTGGAAGGGCAGGGACCTAACTCTTACTTCTTTTTCTTTAATTCAGCTGAGAATATTGGTTTCTCTTTAACTCCGTTGTCAAGTGATGATTTTTGAACTACTATGCTCTTCTGAGTAAACATACTTTATTATAAATTCACATTGCTCCAGCTCACCTGAGCTAGAAGGTGCTTTGGAAACACTCCCATTCATCCTTAATTTAATCACACATCCATTCTTGACTGGCTGTGACATAGCTGCGAACCCACAACCTCATTAGCACTTAAAGCAGCTGACCTGATGATTAACTTCGTTAAAAGTCTGAGGCCTTCCATTACACACTCCCACAATTTTCTCTCCCCCGGTTCAGAAATATTCTGCATTAAATCCAAAAACAGGATTAATTTCCTACTTCTTCCCACAGTTTATCCTCAAGAAATTTCCATTGTTCCATAAGTACCTGTTTCTTCAAGAACCTTATTCTATCAATTTTATTTTTTTGTCTCTCTTATGCTTGTTCCTTGGCTGCTTCCATTTCCATTTATCATCATGGTCGACACTTGTTAATATTTAGAAAAAAAGGAAATACAGAAAACCCTTCTTGATCTTGTAGGCTCTTCAATGAAAACCTCACCCACCCATCTCCCCCAGACACCTTCAAATAGTAAGGGATGCTTGTGCTTTGTGTCATTACTGCTTACTGTGTATTCCTTAGGCTGCTTTAATTCCTTAGTCTTCTATTCCAAACCTATATTCCTGTCTTATTTCTGACAATGTTTGCTCATAAACTCTCTAGGTCAGCATGTCAACCTATTAGCTTTTCTTGAAGCACAAGGCATTTCTATAGTACAAGTAAAACAGCACACATTATACTTGCATACCCTTCATATAGAAGTAATAATAACAACAGCAATAATAATACAAACACCCACAAAGTTACCACCTAGCTAATGAATACTACCTTTCTTTGAACCCCCCCCCCATGTGACTCTCCTTTACCCCATCCTCAAAGCCAATAGCCGCTACTCCTAATTTCAACAATGCATTTTCAGTACTCTGCTTCTTTCCTCACATAAATCCCTTTTCTTGGAACATCTTGTCAAATCCCAGCTCCAGTTTTTGGAATTCTCTCTCAAGATCCTTCTCATTCATTACATCCTCCTATTCTTTAAGTAACTTATCATGTTACCTTTTCTCAAATGGTATTTTGAGTTTGTATTTGCCTCCCCTTATTGATCATAGGTACTGCTTGTACCTACAGTCTAGTAGGAAATAATATGTCTTACTTTTTTTGGTTACCCTCAGTGCCTAGTATAGTATCCAAACAAAGTAAGAACTTAATAAATATCTGTTGCAGGATGCCTGGGCGACTCAGTGGTTGAGTGTCTGCCTTTGGCTCAGGGTATGATCCTGGGGTCCTAAGATCGAATCCCACATCAGGCTCCCCACAGGGAGCCTGTATCTCTCTCTGCCTGTCATCTCTGCCTCTCTCTCTCTGTGTTTCTCATGAATAAATAAAATCTTTAAAAAATAAAAAATAATAAAAATAAATAAATAAACATCTGTTGCACCAAATAATTATTCTTATCTTCTCTCCTAGATCTATTGCCGGGCTCTGAATTCACTGGGTCAAGATTTAGAGAGGCCTCTTGAGCTCAGAGTCAGGGTTCTGGATATAAATGACAATCCTCCAGTATTTTCTATGTCTACTTTCGTAGGACAAATAGAAGAAAATTCTAATGCAAGTAAGTATTCCATTTTATTAAGTAAACAAGAATACATTGACTTCCAGATCACTCTTCACAGCCAGGCAATGAGATACCAAACTAAGAAGGTACTACTTCATCATGAATTTAAGAGACTAAGTACAGAAAACCATCCAGAACAGAAAGTCATTCTCAGTCTCCATAACAGCTTTCCCTTCAACTGTGGCAGCAGCTCCAGTTTGGCATACCCAAGGAGCAACTACAAAGAAATAAGAAGGGTTTTTTCATGTAACTCATACATCAGCTTTTTTTTAGATTCCTAAGGAGAAATCCCAAAATACTTTGTACAGTGGTGGCAGGGGCACTGGGAGGAGATTTAGCCTCCTAATCTGGCTGCTCTGAAGGGCAATTTCAACCATTTCTGTATATATATATATAATATATATATATATATATATATATTATAATTTATATTTCTTATAAATTCCCAAAATCCTGACATTTTACTTTTATTCATTAAAATACTATACCTATTTTTGAATAGGTATCCATTCTAAAATACCATCCTAAAAGTGTTGTGAAAATTTACACAGTATGGTAAGTAAAAAATCAAATAGAAATCAATTCAATTGTTTTCCATGGTACCATTCTTGAGGCAAGCACTATCATTAGTTACTTAGATATATATGTTTTATGCTTATATAAACATGCTTTTGGAAACAACTGGGAACATATTTTACATATTAATACATAATGTAAATTTTTGTTTAAAAATATTTTTAACATTTTTCCATATTAGGAAATGAAGATGTCTTCATTACTTTTAATAGCTGCATTGGATTTTACTGTATGGATGTATCATAATTAATTGCTTACTGAAAATATTTTAAAAGAATGCTGAAATGAATTACCTAAACACACACAGAGATTGAGAGAGAGAGAGAGAGGGAGAAAGTTCAACTCTTTCATGAATTCAGTGAGGACAATACTATTATCATCCCCATTTATAGAGTGGAAACTGAAGCCAAAATCATAGAGAGTTGAGAGTCTTTAGTTGAGAGAGTTGGTCTGACTTTAATATCACCATTAGATTGTAGTGAAATAAAATGATATTATACTCGATAAATCACTGAACACTGATAAATCATTGAACACTACATCTGTAACTGTGTACTTTATGTTGACTAATTGAATTTAAATTAAAAAGAAAAGGATTACACTAAAATGAGAGAAGGAAAAGCAGAGTAAAACATTTCTTTATTTTCTAACTATCAGTAATGTGTAAATTCCTGGTAAAATGTGATCTTTTTGTCAAGGCAAAGGTATAGAAAGGAGTTAAATTAATGATATGTTGGAGAAGTAGAAAGGAAAATGGTAGTGCGGGACACCTGGGTGGCTCAGCAGTTAAGCGTCTGCCTTCAGCTCAGGTCATGATCCCGGAGTCCTGGAATCGAGTCCCACATCGGGCTTCCTGCATAGAGCCTGCTTCTCCCTCTGCCTGTGTCACTGCCTCTCTCTGTGTGTCTCTCATGAATAAATAAATAAAATCTTTAAAAAAATGGTAGTGCATACATTGTACAGACCAACCAACCCTAACACCCTGTTAAAAAAGCAATGTACTATATTATAATGAAAATGCAAACTGTCCATTTACAACCAATTTTCCTTGATTTCTAGATACTCTGGTGATGAGACTCAATGCTACTGATGCAGATGAACCAAATAACCTGAACTCAAAAATAGCCTTCAAGATCATAAGACAAGAACCTTCTGATTCACCAATGTTTATTATCAACAGAAACACTGGAGAAATTCGTACAATGAATAGTTTTCTAGACAGAGAGGTAATATTGTTTTTCTTTGAATGGTTAGTTTCAAAGGAAGTAATTCTAAAAGCAAGAGTACCTAAGAAAGAAAAAGAAGATGATATGTTTAATTTTGAATTATATAACCTTTTCATATAATGGTAATGATATAAGAAATATCTTCAAAATGAAATACATTAATGTATTTCATAGTGAAATACTTAAATACATTTTAAACTGTTATTTCTCATTCAATTCTACTTGATATTTCTCTCAATTTAAGAAAACTATATTCTGAAAGTACACAAGAATATACATAAGGCAGAGGCACAGCTGTACTCTTCTTTTAAAAGTGGGATCTATAATGAAATACATTTAAGAAACAATTGCTATTATGTCCCCCATCTTGGTAGGTCGCAATGCATGAACATGGTAGAAGCTCCAAGAATTCTTACAGGCTAAGAAATTTATTTATCTTTCTTTAACCCAGAATATCCTAAGCTCATCTGAATATGAGACAACAGAACTCTTCTTCTTCCTTCCTATATCTCACCTACTGACAGCCCAGATTATTTTTGGAAATTAATCAAAATGATGGATAGCAATTGAGTAACATTCAGACAAATCTTTTCACTTACAAATAATATAATTAGTGATAGTTATCAAGTTAGAATCAGCATGGTTTCTATTAATACCATATGGTCCCATTATTTAATATAAAAGTATCAATTCTTTCATCATTTTTAAAATACTGATAGGATTTACCTGATCTGTATTTTAGAGATATAAATGAAGTTTTATTTTTGAATTGATAATTAAAATTTATTTTAATTATTATAGTTATTTTGAATGAGATCTGTTCAATCTCATGAACAGAGACTGTTAATGACTGTGAACACTATTAATGACCCCTAGGTTTATAATAAATCAGATGATTTTCACATTTCTTAATGATCCAAATCCTATCAGTTTCTAAGTTACCTATATCTCCTTTTTCACTTGTTCAAAAATAACCCCTAGAAGAAATTTACTATTTACTTTTTCTCTCTCAAACTTCCTTAAAGGGGCCAGTGGGATTCCTTTCATATCAAGAGTTTTAGTAGTGAAGAGCTCTAAAAATGAAAGGAACTCTGTAGTCACTAGCAAGCCACCAAAGCAGATATTTTGAACCTGGAGTCCATGGAGAGACCTCAAGACGTCCCTAACAGGGATCCCTGGGTGGCGCAGCGGTTTGGCGCCTGCCTTTGGCCCGGGGCGCGATCTTGGAGACCCGGGATCGAGTCCCACGTCAGGCTCCCGGTGCATGGGGCCTGCTTCTTCCTCTGCCTGTGTCTCTGCCTCTCTCTCTCTATCATAAATAAATTTAAAAAAAAAAAAGATGTCCTTAACAAAGAATCTTCTAAAATTATATCCACAATTTTGAATAAGGATGTGTGTATACATGTGTGTAGGAAAGGCTTCTCTGCTTTTGCTGAATTCTAAAAACTTAAGCACCATTGAGTAGAATCAAGAAGATAGAATTATCAATGACTCCACTGCTTCTGCCCACCATCCTGCCTCCCAGAAATGCAAACCATTTGTTATCTCTTTATTTTCTCGTACGTTTCAGGGCTGATTATTTACAGCATGGAATTTTCATGTCATAAATTCTTGATAAACCTAATCTCTCTCCTCCTAAGTATTTTGGTCCACTTTACCCTTTATAAACTTTTTTCAACCTCTGGACATGAGGCCTTTAAATGTGTTTTCTTTTAAATGATACTGGATAAGCATTGCTGGAAATAGAAGGGGCAACTGTTTGTGAGATTTGATTCATGTGAGATATGTGGATTTTCAACATTCTGTGTTACCCCTATCTCAATCATAAATTTATGTAAATGTTGAGCCAACATTTTAAAAGAATTTTGCATGAGACAAAATACGGACTGTCTGGATCAACTATGACATTTTTTTGTAATGTGTGCTTTTAGCAATATAGCCAGTATTCCCTTGCTGTGAGAGGCTCAGACCGAGATGGTGGGGCAGATGGTATGTCAGCAGAGTGTGAGTGCAACATTAAAATTCTCGACGTTAATGATAACATCCCATACATGGAACTGTCTTCTGTAAGTATTTGTCCTTGAAATTAATAACTTTAATTCATTACATTCTAAAATTTGTTCAAACAATTCTATTTACAGAGGTACATGTTATTTTTAGTGACATACAACCCAAATGTAGACACGTGTTTTGTCTTATGTTTGTATATATATTACATAGGAAAAATATATGTATTTGAACAATGAAGCATGAGCCCATAAACACAGATCTCATTTCTAAGTAATGAATGACTGTAAACCAGAATAGTTCTTCTCTCATTCACACAGTTGTTAAGATTTTTTTTACTTCTTGTTTCAGCATATGGTTAGAATTGAAGAAAATGCTCTATCTCAAAATTTGCTCGAGATTAGAGTAATCGATTTGGATGAGGAGTTCTCAGCTAATTGGATGGCAGTAATTTTCTTTATCTCCGGAAATGAAGGAGGTTGGTTTGACATAGAAATGAATGAAAGGACAAATGTGGGAATTTTAAAGGTTATTAAGGTATGGTATAATTATCCTAAATATTTTGTTTTCTTGATCTTTTTCAAAATGCTAGTCTTAAAATAAAATGTTAACATGTCACAAAATTGAGGGGGTGAAAGAATAAAAATTACAGTTTTAAAATGATATATGATTATAGAGCTTTTTTAGCAGTTTTTCCGTTTATATCACTTTATAAAAACTGGCATTAAATTTGAACTTGAAACTCTCTTCTATTAGTATACTACTCCTTCAAAGATCATATAAACTTAGAGCATTTCTAAAAATGAATCCTATTTTATGCTTACAACAAAGTATAATCAATCCTTAAGATTTTGTTTTAGATGTTTAAATAATACTTTTTAAGCAGATTTCACATGACCTTAAAAAATATGTCTTTGTCAGCATTGTACATTAGTTATCATGCACTGAGAATATTTGTCATGTAAATTAAAAGTTGTTTAGTTCTCTAAATGTTAAATGAGGTGTTTATACAAAATTAAAATTAAATTACTGTAATAGTAGGATTATCGCATTCCATTCTTCCTGTAGCTCCTAATCAGGGCTTATATGTATATAAATATACTAGAGATTTGGTCTAAGTGACGAAGATTTGGTCCAAGTCAACAGAATTCTCCTATGTTCCCCCTACATTAATGATCCACCTCATGAGTGGATCATTGAATTTCCTCTAAGAGTTGGGGGGGAAAAATGTGACTTCTACAGAGCTAATAGTGAAAGTTTCAGCCTGTGCTACAAGACTCGTGGATCTATTTTTTAAATCTGCAATAGCTATGCGTGGATTGTGTATGATAAAGGCAATTATGTATTCTTTATGGTAAAATGTATTCCTTTCTAAACTATTTCCTTCCTTCATAATAGTCCTGGGAAATAGACTTCAAAGGGATTTTGTTCCCAGAAGAATGTGTGATCATTTATCTTATGTCTTCATAAAGTGTCATCATGCCTATAGCTTCCATTTACTGAGGCAGGGTGCGGATGCCTTAGTTTTTTCCTCACAGCATCCCTGCAAATTAGGATATGCCCATATTGCAGATAAATACACTGAAGTTGAGAGAGAGTATGTAACCCACTCAAGTTCTGATAGCTAGTAAGTGGTACAGTTGACATTCAAACGTAAATTTCTCTAGCTATTAAGTTCATATTTTCTCTACTACTCTATGATTCCATGCTGGAGAAACAGTCCTAATCTATTTCACCCTGAACTACTATATTACTTTAAAAAATTAGTCTAGTTATCCTCAATATCTCTATCTGTAAAATGGGAATAATGTTGATTTTTCTCCCAGGCATGACATTATATATTAATTCCTTTGTTATATGTATGTATGTAACGTATATGTGAACATGATTTTATAGCCAATGTTAAAGATTGAAAATTTTACTAAGTACAGAGTTTGATTGTGAATTGACAGTCATCTAAATTACTCTCAAGTGAAATTTAGAAAAAATATATTTGGGGCTTACAGGCATAATGCACAGTTGTCTGTGAATTTCATAAGTAGTGGATATTGACACCGACTTTCATAATGAAAATGGCTACTTGAAATATTTTTTTCCAGAATATGTTGAACAAAATAAGTATATTTATTATATTTATACTTTGTTCTATTACTGGGCTTATTGAGAGAAGTCACACTTACAAAAGTAAAATTTCTTCTAAATACTTCTTTATGGAGAAAACCAGTCACGTGATTGAACCTGCTAGATATTTGGCCCATACTTTGTAATAAATGGAGCTACTTTGTGAGAAAAAACGAAATGACAGAAGCTAACTTAAACTGTCTTTGTGCTACAAAATGCATGGATTTGACCATCTATATTATTTTGAGTTTTTAAATTTGTTTGATGGATAATTATAACTCATGTCATGTACTTTCAACTTTTTTGACAAAAGATCTAGGGCAGTTGGATTTTTTCTTCCTATATTTTCATGTGTTTATGTTGCATTAAAGATAAAGACAGAATAGAGTGTATATTTGTATGTATTTATATTTAATTAAACAAAGGGATGTAAAAGTTTTCTGGCCTATTATCAAAGGATTTGTCTTTCTTCCAGAATGTTTTTTTCTTATAGTGAAACTATCTCACTCTGTATTTTCTAGCCCCTAGATTATGAAGCTGTGCGGAATCTGCAACTTAGTCTCGGTGTCAGAAATAAAGCTGACTTTCACCATTCAATTATGTCTCAATATAAAGTCACAGCAACTGCAGTCTCTGTGACTGTGTTAAATGTAATTGAAGGTTCAGTGTTTCGTCCAGGTTCAAAGACATATGTAGTAAGGAGTGACATGGGACAGAATTATAAAGTGGGAGACTTTGTAGCTACTGACCTGGACACAGGTCTAGCTTCAACAACTGTTAGGTAAGACCAACATTTTCCAAATAATTTTTAACATATATTGAACTTAAGTATGTATGTTCTTTTTAGAAATTTTAAGTATCTGAATTAAAATATTTTTCATTATTTTTGAAACCATCATTCAATCATAAAAAGTACTAACTAGTGAACTATTATTTAATTCACAGCTTTTACCTTAGGAAAATATAAAAATTGTGCAAAAAGTAAAATGCAAAAAATGTAAAGATGCAAAATGTGGAAAATATTGGATCTTGAAAGTTTGACATTTCTGTATTTATGTATTTTATTGGTCATTTAGCTGATTACCATATATCATGGTTATTCCCCTAGAAGATTTTATGGACTGATTTTCCTATTGCAAATGGGTCCAGATTGAAATCAGTGAGATTTAGTTAGCTCATTTCAGTTACTCTCTTCACTTTAGTGGCATTTAATATTGATAAACTATCTTGTACTCCACAGATGTGAGTTCACTGAGGGTAGATCATCCTACCTTCCCCACCCCACTCTGATCCTCCCAAAGTTCTATCTAGTCTTTGAGTTTAGCACAGTGCTTAAGACAGAGTTATTTAACCAATGTTTAACAAATATGCAAATAAGGAAACTCAAAAGAAGTCCTATAAAGTCATCATATATATGGGAAGGGTGAGTGAAAATAAGGAGATAATGAAGCACAAGCTGATGGAGAAGTAACTTTTTTGGTAAGAGAGTTAGAAGGAGCCCAAGAGGTCCCAGGATCTGGGTCTTCCAGGATAGTTCTAATGCTACCAAAACCAAATGAAAATAAGACTGTAAGAAGCAAAGATTATTCTGACATCCAAATGGGCATGAGGTAATTCCATCAGAAATGACTGCTAACAATTCATTTTTCTTAAATTTAAACATTTTCTATTTCTGAATGTCTTCAAACAGAAGGCACTACCCTGAAAAAAAAAATAAAGTCTCTAATAATTGCAAATGTTATGCAGAGGTTTTAACCACTGACTTGAAACATGCCATTTATAATCAAAATCTGCCTCTTTTAGAAAGCTGACATTAATTCGTACTGTTTCTTCAAATACAGATATGTAATGGGAAATAATCCAGCTAACCTACTAAATGTTGACTCAAAAACAGGCATAATTACTTTGAGAAATAAAGTTACCATGGAACAATATAAAATGCTTAATGGAAAATACCAAGGAACAATTCTATCTATAGATGGTAAGAAATCAATTTAACTTTTTTCCTGTCTAGAGGAAATTATATATACATTCAGAAATTAAAGTTTTAATTGTATTTTGAAATAACCCTTTCCCAACAACAACAACAACAACACAACAAATCATACTGGGTATTATATAATCAAATTTTTAATGATATGAGAGACAACATAACTCAGTGGCCAAGTTCATGAGCTCTAGAGTGAGACTGGATTGGTATCTTGTACCATCACTTAGTAGCTATGGGATTTTGGATAAGTCATTTAACCCATTTATTCTTCAGTCTTTTCTTCTGTAAAATGGGACACTAACATGGATTTAGAGATCCCAAATAAGCTATTACATGTAAAGCACTTAGAAGAATGCTAGTATTCAATGTTAGTTCTTACTAATGTCAATAAATGATTTTTAAAAATTGTATTCTTAAATTACTTGCAAATAATTAGTCCAGAAGCAAAGTTAACTTTACATTATTTTTGGAAAGTTTATGTGAAACTTCTTGCAAAGTAGCATGTTTGTATTATGTTTCCAAACCAACAAAATTAAAATTAAGCTGGTCACCAAAGGGATGGGAAAGGGGAGAGATGTTGGTCAAAAAGTACAAACTTCCAGTTACAAGACGAATAAGTTCTATGGATCTAATGCAGAGCCTTGCCTTGTGATCATTAATGACAATGCAATTGCTATATACTTAAAAGTTCCTAAAATAATAGATCTTAAATGTTCTCACCACAAAAAAGAAATAGTTGTCATGTGAGGTGATGGAGATGTTAGCTAATACTATGGTGGAAATCATACTGCAATGTATAAGTATATATCAGAATGACACACTGTATACCTTAAGTTTATACAATGTTATATCCAATTTATAAAGTTAAAAGAAGATAGCAGGAAAAAAAGGCTTATCATGGAATTTTTAAAAATTGCTTAAGACATAACTACATATAAATAATTGTAAGTGGGTTATAGAAAAGGATGATGTTCCATCAGCATCATTCCTACACTGTAGTAAGAATTATTATAATCACCAATGTCCAGCCAGAACCTCAGAGTTATGAAAGATTTCTAACCTAATAGGACGTGTTGGGGAAGAAGCTTTCCTGTACAGTGGAAGCTAGACTTTGAAAATCTTATCACTGAAGGAGAAAAAAAAAAGTCACACCTTGAACTTTCAGTATTGTGGGTTTTCTGCACTGAGCAATTCCTAATCAGAGATTATCACATATTCAAATCCTATGGAAAGCAGATAGTGCCAATGTGATGAATAAATCTCTGCCAAGGTAATTTAGGAGAGAATAAAGCAATTAACTACTGCACATAAAATACAAATACAAGTAGCTTCCATTCATTTAAGTAGTATGTGGACTATGACTGATTTGTTTATCTAAGGTGAATGACAGCACATACATGACATGGCATTTACTGTTTATATTTCTCAACATATGGGACAGTCTTTCAGGAGCACTAATATTCATCATGGTTTGATTTAAAAACTGAGTCACAAGTAAGGGATGATTTGTGAAGTTACTGAATTCATGAGAATAAAGATGTTGAAATAAGTTATTGACTCAAAAAATGGTTTTATCTTATTCAATGATTATTATACTAAACGTATTAAATATTTCTTTCATTTCAACTCTTGTTGCAGATGCTCTTCAAAGAACTTGTACTGGAACAATTAATATTGACCTTCAAGGTTCTGGGTGGGAAGATGATTTTGGAGAAGTTACCAGTTCTGAAAACAGTGGAAGTTCTACTGGAGATAGCAGTGGAGGTACAGGTGGAGGTGGCAGAGAAAATCCTAGCGAAGGTGATACCACTACAAACACAGGTGGCAAAACTTCCACTGAAAATGAAGGCAGTGAAACCCAGACACAGACCAATGACGACTATCCGGAATTAGGTGGTAATAACTTAAATCTGTCAGATAATGTCCATTTTGGTCCTGCTGGCATCGGACTACTCATCATGGGATTTTTGGTCCTAGGATGTAAGTACTTTTAACAATCCTATTCATATGTGTCCCTCTCCCTGAAATTATGGGGAGGAGATAAGCTTTCTGATCCTATGATAAAGAATACTTTATAAATTCTTATTTTGTGCACTTATTAAGAAATGCCTATTTGCTGGTGGGTCTGTAAGATGAAAAAATCAAACTGCTTGACCCCTTATATAGTGCAGTGGAGGATAAAAACTTCTTTGCATTCAATCTCAGTGCAATGGGAAAGTGCTATCACAGGCAGGGTTCAGATTGCTATTTAGGTAAAGAAGACAATCATAAATGATCCAAACAATCAGAAAAGGCTACATAGAGAAAGCAAACTTGCAGAATGTAACATAAAATACACGAGAAGAGATAATTCCCCAATTTCAGTTTTTTAGCCCTATTAACTATTAAGCAGCATTTTAAAATTTTTAAATTAAGTACTTTATAAAAGTAATTTAATGCCCAGGTGTTGATTATCTCTACTGCAAGTAATATATGACTTTCACTTTGAGTTTATTGTTGATTGCCTTTGGGTAGCATAGTTTAAAAAATATTTTAAAATTATATATTTAGGGTCAAATATCTCTAGATTCAAAGTTTTCTCTAGCCCTAGCAAATTTTCAAGAAAGCAAAATACATAGGATTCTCTTCCTCCTTTCTTTCCTTTTTCCCTCTCTTACAATCCGTTCCTCATTGCTATCTTTTCTATGTTCTTTCCCCTCTACCTCATTTCTTTCTTGTTTCTTTCCTTCCTTTGTTGTATTTTCTATGTACACATCCTTTCCTTCATCTGTCCATTCATTCCAAATCATTTATCAAGATTCTATCATATAAAAGGCTCTGTGCTAGACATATATTTAGATGAACAAGAAAATCCAACTAGGTTAACAGAAAGACATCATTTGGCAGTGTAATATTCTCTATTTGTGCAAGCATGCTTTCAAGAAAAAAAAAGCCATGTAGAGGAAAATAATAGAGGGAATAATTACTTGAAGCATGAGTAAGATTTTACTGCTGAAATTACAAAGGCAGGCATGGATGAAAGAAAAAAAAACGTGAAGACATGGAAGAGGAAACGTAAAGACTCAAACATACTGCCTGTTTTGTGCAGCTCTCTTTTTTGACTCTAACATTTTCCTGAGTAATGACAGCAAAAAGTCTCATCTGTTTTAATAGTATAATACTATTTGCGAGTTGAATACTATATAACAAATGAAAATTGATTGTAATCTAATATACTGAAGCTTACAATGATTCTGGTATCTGACCATGATTCAGTTTGCTTATTGAAACTTTCATAATAATTTTAAAGTCAAATGCAGTTATATTAGGGTTTCAAATTTAATCATACAAAAGCAAGTTATTTTTTTAATGTGGTTCCGTTCCTAATTCCAATATTCCTATCCTTTCACCAACAGTGGTCCCATTTTTGTTGATGTGCTGTGACTGTGGAGGTGCTCCTGGTGCAGGAGCTGGCTTTGAGCCTGTCCCTGAATGTTCAGATGGAGCAATTCACTCATGGGCAGTAGAAGGACCACAGCCACTTCCCACAGTAAGTGCTAATTTGTAAGAAATGGCTTTGGTGGTCCCCAAAACTCAGCTTCATGTACATGAACCAAGATGTTGGCTATAGCTCACATCTATTCTTCATTCTGGGATAGCCAATGTGAAAAATGAAGAGAAGTCAAAGGTCCATCTGAATTAGATGGAAGTAACCAGGAAAGACTTTCTAAATGAGGTGCAGGTTTTAAATGGATTTCAGAAGTTTTATAAATAGTGTTATTTTAGAATCTGGAGTATTTTGAGAACAAACCCAATATATAAGGATAGAAAGAAAAGAATGACTACAAGTGGGGATATGTTTCTTGTCTTTTAGGATGCGACCACGGTCTGTGTACCACCAATACCATCTGATAATGCAAATCTAATTGAATGCATTGACACATCCGGTAAGAAGTTTGCTTTTTGTTTGTTTTTTGTTTAATTTTAACAGCTCAAATGATGAAGGAATTCCGTTCTGTCTTTACCTTACTATTTCTCAATTATCTTATTTGTCTTTAAAATTGTTTCTATCATTCATTTTTAAATGACTAATTTACAAATTAAATGGTAATTATTATTCTTATATGTTGAATTTTTAAAATCTTCCTCAATCATCAGAGAGTACTCAGGAGATGATTCTAGTAGGACCTATATAAATAGGAGAGAAGAATTACAAGTCAATTTTGGTCCAGGTTTTCTAATAGAGCAAACATTATTTACCAAAAAAAAATACAGTTGACCCTTGAACAGCACAGGTGTTAGGGATGCCGATCCCTGTGCAGTCAAAAACACAAGTATTAACTTTTGATTTCCCCAAAACTTAACTATTACTTAACTACCAGAGTTTTACTGTTAACATAAACAGTTGATTAACACACATTTTCTATGTTTTATATGTATTATATACTGTATTCTTACAATAAAGTAAACCAGAAAAAATAAGTTGTTATTAAGAAAATCATAAGGAAGAGAAAAACATTTACATTACTAAATTGTATTCATTTAAAAAAAATCTGCATTCAAACACACTCTGACCTCAGCTGCTATCATGACAAAGAAAAAAACTGCATCCATTCTCAGCATGTGCATAAAGTTGACATAAAACAATTTGTCTGGTTTCTTAAATTGAAAGTAAGTGTATGAAACACTATCAGAATCTTTCCAAGTTCTCAGTTGAGGCTGTGTGCAGGTGCTGGAGTCTCTCCTTGCACACAGTTAACCAAGACTTTTAAATACAAAAGGCCTTAAAACAGGGGTCTAGACCAGTTTGCAGGCAGAAATGAGGGAATGATTAGAATGTCATAGCAAGAGGACAGCTACCATGCTAATAAAAAAATTCTTTTAAAATTTGTATTATCTTTGAAAACTGTTGTACCATCTTGCCTTTTCTCAGAGTAAACAAAATTAGATATTCTCTTCCTTTTCTCTGGGTCTTTTTAAAACTTGTCATCATTACTTTCCTACTTGCAACTCTTTAAAATAGAAGAGGTGTAGGAACGCCCAGAGCTTGTAGAATTGCACTTTATTCAAAGACTAGACACAGTGGCCTCTAAACCTATTTCTCCTCCTGATGTCTCCATTTTTGGTAATGACATCAGCTCCTCTTACCTCAGAAGCAGCAGCCAGTTGACTTTTCTATCTCCCTATTCTTTAACATCCAATCCATTCTCAAGACTTGTCAAATCATCGTATCCATCAGGATTTATTTATGCATTTATCCCTTCATTACATCTAAAAGCCTTTACACAAATCTGGAACAAAGCACAGTTAGAGGCACCAGAGTCATAAAAGGATGAAAAATACACTGTCCCTAAAAATCAAGATTTTTAACATATTAAAGCCATGGGGCACATACCCCAGGTCAACATTTCCCTATCTATGGCTCTTCCATAGTCTGAGCCATCATTTTGACTAACTTAGCTTGAACATGGTAACAGGTTTCTATTCACCCATCACATCTAAGTGAAAACCCAAGATTCTCCATGCAAACCTTCCCCTGATCACAGCCATGACTACTCCTCTGAAAGCCAGTGGTTCTTGGGTCTTCTTCTGGATGCCCTGTACTTCTAATGTGTTGGGGTATTCTTATACTATTCAGCTTTTAGAATTTGGGTATTTCCCCACCAAACTCCCTCAATTTGAAATCAAACTCTCTAAAGCATAGGTTCTTATAACCTCTATGCAGCCCTCCCTCTTCCAGCATGACATATAATTAGCAACAAATAATTAACATCAAACAATTAACAAACTGATTAATAATATTATTTTGAACTCAATATTGCATTTATAGCCCTTTACTTATTGTCTAGATTTTACTTCAATGAGGAAACTTACATTATACAAAGTTATTTTTGGTCTATAATATACCAGAAAAAGAAAACTTAGTTTTATCAACACTTTTAGGGGTTTACACAAATGAGTATGGTGGCAGAGAAATGCAAGATCTGGGAGGAGGAGAAAGAACAACAGGATTTGAACTAACAGAAGGAGTTAAAACGTCAGGAGTACCTGAAATATGTCAAGAATATTCTGGAACATTAAGAAGAAATTCTATGAGAGAATGTAGAGAAGGAGGTCTGAATATGAACTTCATGGAAAGCTACTTCTGTCAGGTAAGGTTTCTTTTCTTTTCTTTTTTTTTTTTTTCCAGGTAAGGTTTCTAACACTGTGTCTTCCTCTCCATCCTGTGCCCCTGGCTCTACTCTAGGCTACCATTATTCCTCAACAGGGCTTTTGCAGGGTCCCAGCCTCTAGTCTCTGCCTGACAGTCATACAGCTGCTGGATAAAATTTCTATAATTCTGAACTCATCACTTTAATCCTCTACTTAAAAATAGCCAATGGCACCTAGCTCTATTTGCCCAAGGCATGAGGTCCAAACTCCTTAACATGACAAGATTATTCATAAAATGACCCCTTCTCTCACCTCCAATTCCTCCTCACCACCAACTCCACATACCAAGTGTCCTTGCCTTATTCACACTGGTCTATTCCCCTCCATGCCTTTGCCTATGCTGTGCCTCTCCTGCGATGCTTTTAACCATCACCTCTTTCATAAACTCCTACTCATCTTTTAAGGCTCAATCAAATATTACTGCCTCTCTGGAGTTTTACTGTTAACCCTCACATTCAAAATAGAATAGATGTTTCTTTATCTGTATTTCTGTAGTGCTCTGTGTATAGTCTTTATAGAACTTTATCATTGCTAAAATATGTTTCTATGTCTATCATTTTTTTTAGCATCTTGTCCATATGTTCTCTACATGTCGCCAGTACCTAGCTCAGCTCCAGGCACATAGTAAACATTCAGTAAGCATGGGTTCAAGAGCCATAGCACACTTCCAGAATATTCTAAGAACCAGCAAGAATTAATTTTGCCACCCTCAGGAGACAGAATTGTCTGTGGATATGCACTATCTGATACTTAAGCTTTCAGCAATTTTCTATCCCTGAAACAGTCTCTGATAGATTTACATTCTTCTACATCCAAGTCTAAAATATCTTCTTTAATTCTCCCATTGGTTTAAAGGGAGGCTGATTATCTTGAAATAAAACACTAATGAAAGCCTTTCAAATAATGGGAGATAATAATAGGAGACTTGTTGCTGAAATCCACAGGAATACTTCCTATCCATGTCCCTACAAGTGAATGTTATTTTCATGAAAAGTACAATTCTTCCTCAAAACTTTTGCACCTTGCAACTCCTTCTGCCCAGGACACTCTATCTGCTTTATTCCACCCACTGCTTTATTCCAACCGCTACGAAATGCTGCCCTTGGCCACTCTATCACCCTATCTCTTCACTCTGTGCATACCGCCTCCTAACAAATATGTTTATGTATTGTCTGTCTCATCCTACTAAAATATAAGCCCTATGAGAGAGAGACTTCAAACGTATTTCTTCACCCCTACATTGCCAATTTCCTAATAAAGTGTCTGGCATATAGTACAGATTCAAAAATATTTTTGAATGAAATAGTGAAATGACTTGGTTTGCTAATAAAGATATTTCCAATACTTAACCTGAAAGTTTGCAATCCAATATTATGAAGGACAGAAATGAGATAAAAGTGCACATGTTTGGGACACCTCGGTGGCGCAGCTTGTTGAGCATCCAACTCTTGGTTTCAGGTCAGGTCGTGATCTCCAGGTTGTGAGATGGAGCCCCAAGTCAGGCTCTGTGCTCAGTGGAGAATCTGCTTGAGATTCTCTCTATATATATCTATATCTATATCTATATCTATCTATCTATATATATATATATATATCAAATTCATAAATAAACCTTACAGAAAAAAGTGCACGTCTCTGGGCTTTAGCTTTGAATTGAAGAAGATCCTATTTTAAAAAATCTTCAGTTTTGAATCCCAAAATGGCAAAGACATGTTCTGTTGTTTTGCTGGAAAAGCCATCTTGAAGTAAATCTTCACAAAACCACCTAATTCACTCCGCTGGAGAAAGGAGAGTGCAATCCTGAATGAGCCCAAATCAACTATGAGCTACCTTTTATATACAAACAAAAAAAGAAAGAGAAGAAAGAAAGAGAAAAGAAAGAAAGAAAGAAAGAAAGAAAGAAAGAAAGAAAGAAAGAAAGAAAGAAAGAAAGAAAGAAAGAAGAGAAAGAAAGAAAGAAAGAAAGAAAGAAAGAAAGAAAGAAAGAAAGAAAGAAAGAAAGGAAGGAAGGAAGGAAGAAAGAAAAAGAAAGGAAGGAAGGAAGGAAGAAAAGAAAAGAAAGAAAAGAAAGAGAAAGAAAGAAGAAAGAAAGGAAAGAAAAAAAAAAGAAAGAAAGAAAGAAAGAAAGAAAGAAAGAAAGAAAGAAAGAAGAAAGAGGGGAAGAAAGAAAGAGAAAAAGAAAGAAAAGAATAGAACCTCCCATACACACACACAATTGAGTGTACTTAATGTTCAGTGCTTCTAGGTATCTCCTTCCAATTTGGTTACAAAATAATTCATGTGATTTTTTTTGCATGTACTTTTGTATCCAAAGTGCACTATGATGAGGGAAGTCCATTTAAATAAATTTTAAAAATCAAAATGTATTAACAGGATTACAGTTAAAATAATATCCAACCAAATTCTTTCAAGAAATTATATGATGATTTTAATACATCTCTAGTAGAGGTTCGAATTTTGTCTTATATGTTCTTCTTTGATAATGCCCCAAAAGCAAAAAGAATGATAAAGACTTCTATTATTGTTAAATATGTATCCATAATTTCATTTTTCTCTTTTCTCTACAAATCTAGAAAGCATATGCTTATGCAGATGAAGATGAAGGACGTCCATCCAATGACTGTTTGCTCATTTATGATATTGAAGGTGTAGGTTCTCCTGCTGGCTCCGTGGGTTGTTGTAGCTTCATTGGAGAAGACTTGGATGACAGCTTTTTGGACACACTGGGGCCTAAATTTAAGAAGTTGGCAGATATCAGCCTGGGAAAAGAAGTTGAACCTTATCCAGACCCTGATCCCTCTTGGCCACCTGAGAGCACTGAACCAATTTGCCCTCAGCAGGGAACAGAGCCCATCATTGGTGGACACCCTCCCATCTCCCCACATTTCGGTACTACCACAGTCATTTCTGAGAATACCTACCCCTCAGGACCTGGTGTACAGCATCCTATGCCTATTCCTGATCCTCTGGGCTATGGTAATGTCACTGTGACCGAGTCTTACACCACCTCTGGCACTCTGAAGCCCACTGTCCATGTTCATGATAATCGACATGCATCAAACGTAGTGGTGACAGAGAGGGTTGTTGGCCCAATCTCTGGCACTGATTTGCATGGAATGTTAGAGATGCCTGACTTGAGAGATGGATCAAATGTTATAGTGACAGAAAGGGTAATAGCACCAAGCTCAAGTCTACCCACCTCTTTGACTATGCCTGATCCCAGAGAATCATCAAATGTGGTAGTGACAGAAAGAGTAATCCGACCAGCTTCTGGCATGATGGGCAATCTAAGTATACACCCTGAGTTATCAAATGCCCAAAATGTGATTGTGACAGAGAGGGTTGTTTCTGGCTCTGGCATAAGTGGTATTAGTGGCCCAGCTGGGATAAGTGGAGGCAGTGGCCTAGTTGGCAGTGCAATGGGAGTAAGTGGTGGTGGCATTGGGCTGAACAGCCTGGGAGGAGGTGGTGGCCTGAGTAGCAGCATGGGGGGCACAGCCACCATCGGTCATGTGAGGAGCTCCTCTGACCATCACTTTAGCCAGACCCTTGGATCTGCCTCCCCTAGTACTGCCCGAAGCCGAATCACAAAGTACAGTACAGTACAATATACTAAGTAGCCAGGATCCCAGTACATTTGTTCTCAGTAATGGTGATTTAGATTCCATTCCCACCACCAAAAAACTAATGATGCGTTTGATGATGTGCAGGTAGGTGCTAAAAAACTGTGGAACAAGGTCAGAAACCACAATGAGAAAGACAGATGGAAACAGTGCTATTGAGCAAGAGCTCTCCTAGCATTTGTAAACTTTTTTCTTATATTAATACTAATGGAATCATGACAGTGAAGTAAAACTTGAGACAGGGTCTTCTTTGCTTCTGTGTGGCCTGTCTTATATCTCCAGCAAAGGGAATAAATTAAACTCAGTCATGCAAAACCACTGGCCTTAAGATGGCTATCTGCACAACTCTCCTTACTCTGTTTTGATTTGCCATGTAGCTCAGGCAATATTAAAAAAGGACTAAACATGTAACATGAGCTCACTTATGTAGGAAGAATTTGAAATATGTGCTAAGCACCTAGTCAATTTCACAGATAATAGGAATAAAAATCCAACCATGTATTCAGACCATGATGAACCATTAAAGAAAACAAAATCTGGCTACACAATCCAGTTCACAAGCCATCAAGCACTCCTACCTTAATAATTGCACAAGATAAAATAAACCTCAAATGAGGAACAATTTCCTGGGAGGAAATTTCCACAAGGGAATGGCAATAGGGGAGATTCATTGGGGGAAAACTGGAAATGTCTGAACCTGATCTTGAGATGGGGCCTCAGCTAAAATTCCGATGGAGTCCAGGAGTTTTCTGATTCTAGTTTGTGTTTTGTGGTAGATGTGAAGTTGCAGAATATCACACTCATTCTTCTCCTTATCACTGTGGCTCTTACCTAAAGGCAGAAAGCTTGCCAAGTATACTTCTCTGACTGAAGCAAGTAACACCTGACATGGTTGTCATCCCTAATGGTAAATTACCTTCCAAGGAAGCAGATGGATACCACTTTGTATTTTCAGATGTGTGTTTAGTAAGTGGATACCACTTTGTATTTTCAGATGTGTGTTTAGTAAGTGTTATTCACCTACATCCAGCTCTCTATTATACATCTCTTAAGTTAAAATAATTTACTTAAGCTGAGCTGTGAAAAAACTCTGCAGTATGGTTAAGCTTTGGGGGGATTTTATTAAGGGGATCTAAAAAAAGTTTTTAGAACATGTAAAATGTTTAATGGGAAAAGTTAGTTCTGTAAAGTAATGCTGTACTATTAGTTTTAATTGAGTTTAGTACTTTTAAAAACAACACTCTGCTGCTATTTTAAAGAGGTCAACCAAAACCTTTTAACAGAGTTGATGATATTGTGTTAACTTATGTGAAATTGTACTAGACAATCCCATATCCTTACTCTATCTCACTCCCTAACTAAATTTTCTCACTAGAATAAATCTTATACTCCTTATTTAATTTGTTGATAAAACTCTTGGCTTATATAATATTCCAATTTATAGATAGTTCCCAAATTATATAGTATGATATATTTTTCTAGCTTCAAAATTTAGCAATATACTATTTATGATAAGCCATTTCTGTGTGTTTGCTATATAGTAATGCCTGGTTTAAAAAAATTTCTAAATAGAACCAAAGCATTCTTAGACAGGGATAAACCTGCTATGGCAAGATAGAGAAATTTTTTTCTCATTTCTAAATTCAGTGTTGATATGAGCTCACTAAAGTGAAACTAGATATGACAAAATTGTTCAAGGACTATTCCCTGTCGATTACTCAAATTTCCCAAGGTATTACAAAATCCAAGAATAGTCAACTTCCAACACTTTTCAAAGGGAGCTAAGGAGTGAACTATTTTATCAGAGCTATTTTGCTCTATGTTATAGTAGATGATGTCAATATTTTCAAAGCCACAATATACATCTTATTTTACATCTGTAGTCTATGTGAAATTTTGATAGTCTGTAGCATGTCAAAATGCAGAGGTGTAAATAAAGTCATTTACAGGGACTCTTTTATTTCTTTCTCCCATTTGGGGAGGGGGGAGCTTCCATTAATGATGGATAATCTTTCCAGAAATAAAGTCAAAATGTATTTATTGAAATATACTTGATTATGCTGGATCCAGGAGTTTGAAGGAATAAAAATAATTACTAGTTAATTAATTCAAGGGAATGGTATCTGACCAAAAGTAGCTTCTGTGTCACTTTGATTTCTCATCAGAAGTGTTTTTTAAAGACTCTGGATATCTTCCAAAAAAGTTTTTTAGATTGTCTAACAAATGCCAGAGTGACCATCTTTAATAACTGTTGTTATGAAGATCCATTAGTAAAAAACCATGGAAGATATAAAAAATGACAGTATTAGTTGTCAATTTTTCTAGGAAGATACTTTCAAATAAATTTTTTGTCAGGATTACACACTGATGTTCTAACTCTTTATTCTTAAATTTTAAAATCATCTTTTTAAGATATAGTTCTAACAATCCTTTAAAGGCATGTCATTTTTTCAATAAACAACCTTTGGGCAGAAATCAATTCTCCTCTGTAGATCCTTTACTCCAACTCACAGACCTTAGGTCATTCTACAGACCTAAGATATGGAAATTATTTTACAAGTAAATGTTATAATTCAAATCTATATTGGAGGCTGAATCTCAGATCAACATGCTCTTAACAAAAGGGAGAGGAAAAAATAGTAGTTTAAATGTTCTGTGTATAGAGTTTGAAATAAAGTGATGGTCCTTAGGGTCTGACTTCCTAAAGATATGGTCCTTAGGGTCAAAAATTAGTGTGTCATAAATATTTCATAATTTAATATCAACCAAATTACCATCCTGAGCTAATTTTAACATTTAGTTCCAGATTTGTCTGCTACATATTATTAGTCTGTATGTATATTGCCAAATGTAACTGTATGCACTACAAATTTACAGAAAAGTTATCGCCTGGGGATATATTTAGGGCTTCATCTGGACATCTGTTTACACTGCCACATAGTTTTACCCTTATAATCTCCATTCAATGTAATTTCCTGACAATTTTAATCATATAGCTTCAAAAATTACATAGTTGCTCTAACTGGATGTTTTTAATTATATACACAATTCGTTTCTGAATTTATACCAACATCTGAATGTTGGTATAAATCAACCAGGGTATAACACATATGATACCCTCTAGCTAGAATAGGAATTTAAAGGTTTTATCATCATTGGCTAGAAGAGCCAGTTTAGGAAAGACATTCAAAAGCCAAAATGAACTTTTAAAAGTATTTGCCACATTCTCCCATACCTATTTAATAAATTCCAACCTTTTGTAGGATTTCTGGTATTTTTAAGACTTACTTCACTTTGCACTGCAATACACCAGTCTACACAGATTACTAGTCCCCATGAAATAGAATCTGCATTCTGGTTCTAGATTGTTCAGTTTATATTAGGACAACAGCACGAATGGATCAACCTATTAGCCATCAAAGAATTTTAAAACAAGGAATAATCTATTGTTTAACTGTCTGTATTCCTTCCATTTAGTTATATTTGAATTACTAAACACTTTATCATCAAGCAGTACCTAGTCTTATTTTTTTATTTTGCTATTTTACAAGTATTTTTAAACTCTAATATTCATCTTTGGTGATGTTTAAAACAGGTGCTTTCTTTTAGGTTTCAATATAAAAGTTCTTGGCTCATTTGGGCAATAGTTCCTTGCTTGGTTGGTCCTCCGTTGGCTATTTTAAGTCAGTTTGTAATTTCCAAAGACTTATGTTTACGGCAATAAAATGATTGGTATGCTTCCATTATCTTTTCTGAATTTTAAAGGTGGGGCGGTTTAGACTGTAAGGAATAATTAGAGGTTATCAAATCAAATGATTATTTTCAGCCCATATGAGGGAAGAAATACTTTATTTTCACATTGTTAAAATTTATTAACATTTCCCATTTTCTAGCTCTTTTTTTTTTCCCAGTGTTTACTGAGGAGCCTCCTCTGCAAAGTACTTGTCAGCAGTGTCCAAGCACAAATAAATAAATGACAAAAAGCTGGGATTTTAAAATTCTGTTTGAAATTTTTAGCATCTTTATATTTTCATCTTTCTCTCTTTCATACTCTCATTTATATTTTTGTTTACACTAGCATTGTATTTCTTTTAAAATTGATTTTCTTATTAGTTGCTTTTAAAATCACCCCCTTTCATCTTTATCGGGAATGCATCTCTTTTTTTGCTCTCCAAAGCCACTTTCAGAACATGATCACGTTCATCTTACACAAAACCTTATCCTTTCCAGACTCATGTGATCTGCTTGTATTCCTCTCTCTCTCTCCTGCTTGTGTCATTCATTGACCTCCCAGCAATGTCCTCACTTTTACTAAAGACTCATATTCTGACACACAGTCCATTGCGATCTTTCCAACTCCTGAAAGCATTCACAGTAACTTAAGTGACTACAGAGGTGAGGCACCTGACCCCCATTTTTCTCCATCCCACCTCAGCAGGGCAGTACTCTGGGTGCCTATTTCAGTCTTCACATCCTCTGATCACTTCCTCCTTATCCTTTCAGCTCACTTGCTGAAGTATTCTGATTGCACAATTCCTCCACTTAATCAAAACTTCTTTGCTTTCACTCTCCCTGCTTTCTACTATCTGCCACCCCACTTCCCTCTGTGTCTAATCAAGCGTCATGAGCTTAAATATGCTGCCTCTTGGTGAATGCCTTCAAACTCCTTGCCCTGCTCTCCCCTTTCATATCCCAAATCTTTCACTCTCCATCTCTGTCCTCACACAAACAGCTCAGGTGTGACTGACTTTTTTTTTCATTTTGAATACTTAATCTCAAATCTCAGATTAATATAAAATGCTTCCCCACAATCCTACCTCCATCTCTGATAGACTTCCCATCTCATTATACTAGGTCACTATTCCATACCTTCTCTGTCCTCAAAACTCCTGCACCTCTTCTTTCCTCCTCATTCTTAGTTGATGACCCAATCTTATTGTTCACCTGACCTATACATCTTCCTGTACTTGTACTCTCTCCCCCCTGCCTTATTACAATGGAGTTGGTGTTCTACTTTTATAAAAAGACAATCCCCAATTTGTGCTCAAGAACTTTGCTCTTTCCCTAATAGTCCTTTTTGGAAACCATCTCTCTCTCTCTCTCTCTCTCTCTCTCTCTCTCTCTTTCTATTTCTTTCAGAGCATGTTCATCAGCACCCCTCCATAGAATTACTGCCTCATTTTTTGTTGGTTTCACAAACTTTTTAAGACTTATAAACACATGACTTTTCTCTCCCATGTCCTATCAAACTTCAACCCTGTCCCATCAATCCACTAAAATGGCCCTTGTCAAGTTTGTTTAAGACCTACAGATTGCCAAACACAAGGTCCACTTTTCTATCCTCATCTTTATTAATCTTTGGAAAGAATCTGAAAAAAATTAACTATTCTCTCTTCCTTGCAACAGTTTTCATTCTTGGCTTTTATACCATCCTTTCAAAATATAGCTTACATTTCACTGCATGAATGAATAAATTGAATGAATTCTCTCTTATTTTCCTGTTTCTTTGCCATCTACCCAATTATCAAATGATGATGTTCCCCTTAAAGTTTGATCCTATGCCCTCCCCTTTCTACACTCTACACTGTCTCTATGAGACCTCATCAAAGCCTCTTTTAAAGTGTTCAAAACTAAGCACACTTGTGCTCCCCAGCCCTCCCTCCCAATAAATAGAGCCCACTGCTCAAGACAGAGACTAAGTACTCCTCCTTGATTTCATCCCTTCCCTCACATCTCTTTCCTTCATCTGATCCATCAGTATATGCTAATGACTTTGACTGAATCTATAACCAAAACATAGCTCAGGCCATCCAATAGCTTCCATCCCCATATGGCCACCCCCTCCTAGAACTGTATCTTATCTTGTCTATTTCCATAGTGGCCTTCTTCAAACAGTTTTCTGCAGATAAGTTTATGTGGCCTTCTTAAATGTAAATCAGATTAAGCCAATCCTCTATTTCAAGAATTTTACTAGATTTCCATTGCATAGAATCCTAGAATAGCCTATAGGGATCCATAGGTACTAGAATAGCCTATAGGGACCCATCTGATCTGGTATGAAAGATGATGGTGGAAAGATAATGCTGATTTGGACAACTAGAATAGTTGTAATGGAGAAGGAGGAAAGAAATGGACTGAGGAAATGTTTTGACCTCTGCCATGAGAATTCACTCTGTGTGGCACATTTTCCTCCTTGTTTTCATATGGTTACATTGTTTTCACCTTTTAGGTAGCAATCTTAGTATCATTCCCTCAGAAAGCCATTCACTCATTCATTCATTTGTTCATTCATCCATTCATTCTGCAGATACTTAGTGAATGCCTAACAGTGTTGATATGACAGGAACAAAACAGATAAAGTCCTTCTGAGTTTACATTCAGGATAAGGAGTAGGGTAGGGGGTAGGTCTGACAATAAACAGGAAAATAAAGTGTGCTAGATGGCAGTAACATGTCTATTGAGCAGACAACTGAAGAACATTAGGAAACAAATCATGTGGCTATCTGGGTACAAGACATTTCAAAGGAAACTACAAACCACAAACAGTAATGAGATAGAGAGAGAAGGAAAGCAACAAGAAATGAAATCTGAGCGTAACAGGGATGAGACTGAGTTTGAGCTTTCAGGTCATTGTAAGAATTCTGACTTATCCTAAGTGAAATAGAAAGCCACTGGAAAGCTTGGGCAGAGGAGTGCTCTGCTCAGATTTGGATTTTTGAAAGATCACTTACAGCTAGCTCTCTTTTTTTAAAAAAATTTTTTATTTATTTATGATAGTCACAGAGAGAGAGAGAGAGAGAGAGAGAGAGAGAGAGAGAGGCACAGAGACATAGGCAGAGGGAGAAGCAGGCTCCATGCCCTGGGAGCCCGATGTGGGATTCGATCCTGGGTCTCCAGGATTACACCCTGGGCCAAAGGCAGGTGCCAAACCGCTGCGCCACCCAGGGATCCCTACAGCTAGCTCTCTTAATGAGGGACTCCTACTACCTGGTTTGACCATATAGTTTAATAGCAAAACAAGCAACAAAAATAAAAAGAAAAACCTTAAGCAGCTAAATAAAGAGAAGTTCAAAAGAAATTGGAAAAAGGGCCTTGAGAACTAGCTTAAATTCAAATTTCATTATAAAGTTTCTTGAAAAAACTCGAGCATAATAAACACAGATGGAACATATTAAATTGGTCCAAAAGATTGAAAAGGAGCCAATTTCTGGGCATGTACTTAGTGACTGAGTTCATATTAAGACAAACACTAGCTGACCTTTATTTTTCTTAATTTTACAAACAAAACTTTAGGAAAAACTTGGTATGTCCCTGTTTGTTCTGTGCCTATGTGCTAGTCATCCCTTCTCAGATAAAACTCAGGTGGAAAAGCATACTACCTGAAGAAATCTATAAATTTAATGTAATCCCTATCAAAACACCAACAGTATTTTTCACAGAATTAGAACAAATAATCCTAAAATTTTGTATAGAATCACAGAAGACCCCAAATGCCCGAAGCAATCTTGAGAAAGACAAAACCAGAGGTATCACAATCCCAGATTTCTTTTTATTTTCTTTTTTTTTTTTTAAGATTTTATTTGAGAGAGAGAGTGAGAAGAGCATGAGCAGGGGAGAGAAGGAGAAGCAGGCTCCCTGCTGAACAGGGAGCCCAATGTGGAGCTTGATCCCAGGACCCTGAGATCATGACCAGTGCCAAAGGCAGACAGACACTTAACCAAGTGAGCCACCCAGGCACCTCACAATCAGAGAGAGACAGATACCACACATGGAATTTAAGAAACAAAACAAACAAAGAAAAAAAGAGACAAACATGAAAACAGACTCTCAAATATAAAGAACAAGCTGGTGGTTGCCAGAGGGGAAGGAGGGAATGAGTGAAATAGGTGAAGAGGTTAAGAGTACGTTTATCATGATGAGCACCGAATAATGTATAAAATCGTTGAATCACTATATGGGATGCCTGAAACTAATATAACACACTGTATGTTAGTTATACTGAGATTAAAATAATAAATAAATAAATAAATTAATTAATTAATTAAACAAACCTAGAGGGAAGAGCCTTGCCTCAAGAACTTTCCTACAACTGCTCAACACGTCAGGCTCTATTTCTTGTTGAAGGTCGTATCTTGATTTCTGCAGGTTTCTCAGGGTCATGAGATTGAGCCCCAGACTGGGTTCCTGTGAGTGGGGAGTCTGCTTCTCTCCTTCTCCCCCTATATTTCCCCTCACTTGTATACACATGCATGGGTCTCTCTCTCAAATAAATAAATACATAAATGTGGTTTTTAAAGAAGACTATATCTGGTTGGACCGAGAATGTTAATTTGTCACATTTTCACTAGAAAATAATTTGCTGTGTTCAAATTAATAGCTATCTTTTTCAAAATGTATGCCAGTTCCTCCTTGCTCAATTACTGACTTGGGCTTCTCAGTTTGTTTTGATCACATCTGAGACTGGATTTACCCAGAATTAGACCCTGAGAAATAGGATTTCTGGGCAGTCTGAGGAAGAAGGGGATGGATGTGAAGAAATCCTGGTAAGTAACTGTGAAATGAAATAGAGAAGGGAAAACAGCCAATAGAGGCCAATTATCCCCACGGATAACCAAAGCTCAGCTCTCCTGGGGAAAATGTTGGAAGTCAGTGTAGTGCATGCAGTGCAGAGTTAAACTAGCCCAGAAATGAGAGAGATCGCATACTTAGACAATGTCCATCAGTTCACAGTTGAGGGGCAAAG